CTATGTCAGTCAGCTACTGGACCCCATTTCAGTGAACACAGTGACAAATGAAAGGACCACCAATGAACAGTGAGAACTTGGTTATGAAAAACACACCTGGCATTTGGACAGTGTGAGTAGGAAAAGAATCGTTCCCTAAAAGTGTTCTAAGTCACTCAGACTTCACATTGGGGTGCTAAAACAACAGAGCTGAGACTAGGAGCAAGAAAACAGGAGATTGGGTGTGCTGGGAATTAAGAGCATGGGAAGAAAGTGGAGAAAGTTCTGACTGCAGACCAGGGCAGGGGTTTCATTGTCTGAAGGCTTATAGGTTTGTGAAGAAAGAGCACAGCAAACCTAGTGCCCAGGGCTGAGCTCAGGGCACAGAAGAGCCTGGAGAAAACACAGCTTCATTTGCTGAGGGTAAAGTGAGAATTAAGAAGAATGGTGAAGAGAACGCCACAAACCTTGGAACCGTGTCAGTGTCCACATACACAAAATTGCCAGCCATCAAAAGAGAATCTTGCTAGGCGTGGTGGCGCACGCCTTTAATCCCAGCACTCGGGAGGCAGACAGGCGGATCTCTGCGAGTTCAAGGTCAGAGCGTGGTCTACATAGTGGGTTCCAGGCCAGCTGGGGCTACAGAAAACCAAAAAAAAAAGAATCTTGTGGAAGCCCACCCAGCGTTGAATTCAAACGTTGGGAAACACAGTTGTACAACTTCCCTGCCTTTGTTGCTGCTTTTTAAAGCAGGAAAGAAAGAGCTTTGTATAGCATTGACCAAGGTTATCAGAGGAACAGAGAATTGGGGGATCGGGCAGCGAGGAAAGAAGATAAAATTGCAGACCAATGGGCAGGCTTTCAAAACACCTTTCAAAAGCCCAGTGAAAGTACAATGAACATAATGTGAATTTAAATTGAATTATTGAATTTAATCTTGTTCAATCTGAAAAATTATTACTGTGCATATAATGATAAAACTGGGTTCCTGGGAAAAGGTGCTAGGAAAAGTGTCTCCTCCACCTTTAAGGAGGAATTTTTTGTTTGTTTTGGTCTTTTTGAGACAGGGTCTCTCTGTAGCCCCAGCTGTCCTAGAACTCTCTGTGTAGACCAGGGTGGCCTTGAACTCAGAGATCTGTCTGCCTCTGCCTCCTGGGTGTGGTGGCACAGGCCTTTAATCCCAGCACTTGGGAGGAATATTTTTAGTTTTTATTTTATTTAATTAATTTTTTTTGTGTGTGTGTGTGTGTGTCTTTTTTGAAACACGGTCTCCTTGTAGCCCCAGCTGTCCTGGAACTCACTATGTAGACCAGGCTGGCCTTGAACTCACAAAGATCCACCTGCCTCTGCCTCCCAAGTGCTGGGATTAAAGGTGTGTGCCACCACTCCTGGCGGGAGGAATATTTTTAAAAGGCTGTTTCAGAATGATTTATTTTGAAACATTTCTATCAGAAATAATTTATATAAAAACTGAAGGATTTTTTTTCCCCTTTCAGCCTTTTGAAGACAAGATCTTGCTATGTAGCCCAGGGTGGTCTCAAACTCTTGACCCTCCTGCTTCAGCATCCCAAGTGCTCAGATTACAAGCATGTGCCACTATACCCAGAAAAACAAATGTGATCCATAAAGCGAGCCCAAGAGCTATTTATCTTAACGTGGCACCATGTAGTAGGTACATGGAACTTTGGGGTACGTGGGATTAAATATGACATGGTATCTCTTTTCCTTATCTGTAAAGTGGGCCCCAAGTACTTGCATAAGTAGGTTTAATGAGGGCAGCATTAGTTAAATGAGAAAAAAGTACATGGAAGTAGGAACTTGGACATTCTGTATTCTATATTTATCATGTGGTATGTATAAATACAATAATTTAGGGCAGGACAGAGTTGTTGGTAGTACTTGCTGCCCTGGTGAACCTGGCTTTATGTCAATACTTGTCTTATCATTTAGGGAGATTCAATCTGAATCTCACACAAGGCTTCAGATTCACAATGAGATGTTAATTTATATTTCTTGATCAATAGTGTGTACTTTTGCAAATTTCACTAGGTCACCACTGAGCTTTCTTTGTGACTTTTTCTCAGCTCTGAGAATTACTTCTGACCCTAAGTAACTCAGAAAACTAACGGGACTTTTACTGAGTGTCATAAAAGTAGCTGAGCTACTGAGTTAAAGATGATAGAAATTGCTTTCCTTGGAATGAGCCTTTGATTTTATTTTGACTATCAAGATTTTCTTCTGTAAACATGAGGAAGCCTTGATCACGTTGCTAACTGTAGTTTTTGGTGTAGCAACAGCAATTAATGAAGCAAGGCTTTACTGGTATCTTTAGAGACTATTAAGCCCCAAGCTTCTCAAGTCTATGCAAACCAGCACCTTCCTACTTAAGAAGTCTTTCTTCTAAGCAAAATCTCTTGCCTCCATTGGCTGATGGCAGATATTTAGAATCATTAGCTAAATTAATTGTTTCATGTGCTTGGTCTTTAGAATGTTGTAAAGTGTAATGGAATCACTGAGTTGAGAGCAAGTAATTGGATGTACTTCAAAGATATTCCAACCAAATGCTGTACCTGGCATTCTTTATGACCACTTAAAAACTACCGAAAGAATACTGTTGATGAATCCCAATGCCATCAAAACAAACCATCTAGAACTGTTTAAAATGCCTCTTCTCTGTTGGTTTGCATCACCTCACAATCTGAGGAGACTTTACAGACACTACCTCTTAAGTACCAGGGCAGTGCTTCATATTTTTAAAAGGGAGGAATGAGAATTTACAATACTTCCCCTAGGTTTTGGAAGTCCCGTTAGGAGGAATAGAACGCACATGGTCACCACGTCTAGGACTCATGCGCTATACAAGAACTGAATATTGAATCCTGCACTCCTGCCACAGGCCACACAGAGTGCAAAGGCAAATAGAGATGCAGGAGACTCGAAATCAGAGCGAGAGGTGAGCGATGGGAAGAACTTGAAAGCAACTGCATTTCAAAGGTGCCATGCACTTCTTAGCCTGACTGCTTATTATCTGATGGGATTATGGTCCTCCTAAATACAGATATTGTGGTTCTCAAACAAATTTTACATGCAGTAATCACATAGTTAAGAGTTGAGGACCAATATTCAAGTTTAAGCTCCGTGGCTCAAATGAAATACATCTATGAACTACCTCTATATTAGATGCTAAGCATCCCTACCTCACACACACACACACACACACACACACACGCATGCACACACACACACACACACACACACACACATACACCATTACCAAATACAAAGGATGTTGAAATGCTCTCCATTGTTACTATTTATGACCAAAGAAAATACTTCTTTGAAAAGCAAAATAATTGGACTATTTTACTAACAAACAGATAGTAGGTTCTCATTAAATTTCTTTAATATATTCATTGTGATGAATTCTGAAGATATATTTGCTTCCTTTCTATTTGGGTTATAAATAGGGTAGTTGTAAATTATTGGTGCTGGAATATTAAGGAAGGATCCAAGTTGTATTCCAGGAGTCATTCTACAAAAGCTCAGGATAGGCTAAACATTTTCCTATTTTTTCCCTAGCACCATGTTTAGTTTATTATACCTTTCAGAAGTGTGTGTGTGTGCATGTGTGTGTGTATGCATGTGTGTGTGTGTGTGTGTGTGTGTGTGTGTATGCATGCAGAATGGAAATTTAGAGATTCATGGAGACCAGTTCACTCAGCTCCTTCAGCATAGTGTCTGCTGAGTGGTTAAAGCAAAGGGCAAGGGACAAGCATCTCTTTCTATTTGTGGCATTGATTACTCTGGAACCTAGAGAACTGGAATCCAGAATGTCATTTTTTGGCATTCAGGTCATCCATGCAAAAAAAAAAAAAAAAAAAACAATGCACCCTCAAAAGCAGATTGTATGTAATTTTGACATCTATAAACCATTTGCAAATTAAAAAAACTCAAGTCTACCACAAAAGCAGGACATGCTATTCTCTCTCTCTGCATAATTTACAGAATGAATGAAGAATTGCAATGGCTAGACAGCTAGCCATCAGATACCTACTGGAACATTCTTGTTTGCTTTTCATCCCCGCTCATTCTGGAACCCATCACATTTATTTCCAAGCAATGTGCTTTCTATCCACTTTAGTTCTGCATTTAATTTAAATGAAAAAGCAGCTCTGGGCTGATTCATTATTTAAATTGCAGTCCCCATTCTCCCTTTTGGTTTTTGGAGACTGAGGTATGTATGTATGTGTGTGTGTGTGTGTGTGTGTGTGTGTGTGTGTGTGTGTGTGTGTAGAGCTGCAGATGGGCAAAAAGAAAATAAGCTAAATGCTAAATTCCAGGGCCCAGCTCTCAAGTGTGAATTGTATGCAGTCCATTTCCCTTGTATATGTTCTTTACAAGTTGTTTGTTGATAACTCTGAGTGAGCCGTTAGCTTTATATTTGACTCACAGATTTAACATCATGTTCTTCAGAAAAATAACACGAATGAGGAATTTGAAGATAAACTTTATGAAAAAAAAGTACTTCTCTTGCACCTTGATATACAATGTGGAAAATAATGTCTTTTCTTTCTACCTACTCTAATCACATATAAAATATGAAATCAATCCTTCAATGAAATCAAATCAAATATTCTACACCTTATAGAATGAATTATTCTGTTATTAACAAATGCTGAACGTTTAAAAAATTAGAAGAGTTCATTTAATGGAATCTATCAACTGACCTTGGTAATAGACCTTAGTAAATCCAATTCTCATCAATTCAATTACATTGAATCATAAGCATATTTTATACACACATATTTCTCTCCATGCATTTATGCATACACATGGAATATAGAATAAAGAACAAACTGATTACTTGCAGACTTGGCTGTATTTAGCACACTGAGTTCAACATAGGACATGCATCCTCCATGGAGCTCAGTGTGCCAGCAGAGTCTCACTGGGGATGGAAGTGGATTTGGAAGAAGCCTGCCTTGCAGGTTCTCCCCTTGCACCCGTTCTGTCCACACTACCTTCCGGAGGGGCTTCAGCTTCGTCTCCATCATGAAATTGTACTTGCAAAGCTCACAGCAGCGTGTGTCAGAGCTCTTGATCCACTGGTGGAGACAAGACTGGTGGACAAAGCGCAGGGTCCCGGTGCAGCGACAGGGCGTGATGAGTGGGCTCTCTTCATCTCCTTCACAGTGACAGATCCTAGGGGAAGACATAGCCGAAAGCTATGAGACCACCTCACAGACTCCTCCCTTTGCTTACAGCAGCCTGTACTAGAAACTGTACCCTAAAACCAGAATTCATGGGCATTTTAGCCTACTCTTGATGGTTAAGACCAAATCTCGAATCAATACTCATTTACTTTCATATGTATATTGTTAGATTCAAGTCATATTATAAAGCATTAGATATTGGTGCATCAGAATACATCTATTTCCTTGAAATGCTGAAGCTAATTTTAAGAGCAAATCTAGTGAGCTATGTTATCAGCTCAATCTACTTAATAGCTTGCTGCCAATGGGGCTTCATATTTAAGAATTACGGCTTCAAAGTATTCCAAGAAAGCTGGATATGGTGGCATAAACTAGCAATGCCAGGGAGAGGCAGGAGGGTCACTGCAGGTTTGAGGCCAATCTAGTCTTCAAAGTGCATCTAAGGCAGCCAGGGTCACATAAGAGATCCTGTCCAGAAAAAAAGCAAAAATTAAAAAGAAGACATATTCTAGCTGGGCGTGGTGGTGCACACCTTTAATCCCAGCACTCAGGAGGCAGAGGCAGGCAGATCTCTGTGAGTTCGAGGCCAACCTGGTCCACATAGTGAGTCCCAGGACAGCTAGGGCTACAGGGAGACCGTCTCGAAAAGACCAAAAAAAAGAAGACATATTCCAAGGAATGTTAGAGTTTGATAACCTCACTGTGCTGTTTTGATAACTTCACTATACTATTTTGACTCCAGTCTTAGGGGGTCATGTTGTATAATTTAGGATCTTACTAGTTGGAAGAATTTTGAAAAAAATTAAGTTGAAATCAAATTATAAAATTATTATTGAAAGTATCACAAAAATTTTCCTAGGAAATGTACATCTATTAAGTTATAAGAAACTGTCAATAGTCCTCATTATAAAACTCACAAAAATTACTAGTGTCATAAAATTCTAGTTCAGGGGGCTGGAGAGATGGCTCAGCAGTTAAGAGCACTGACCGCTCTTGCAGAGGACCTGGGTTCCATCCCCAGCATCCACATGGCGGTTACAAACCTCCTTAACTCCAGTTCCAGGGGAGTCCGACACCCTCTTCTGACCTCTGTGGCATTGCATGACACGGGTGCACTCACATACATGCAGGCAATACACTCATACACATAAAATGGAAAATAATAAATAAAATATTAAAGAAATTCTAGTTCAGTAAATCATTATTTGAAATGTTAATATTTGTGTCTCTATATTCAAAGTTCAGCTAGTTTCTGGATTGTTGTGAATTTTGAGTTCACAGATTTACACTCTGAATTCTTCATTGATCTCATTTAAAAAAATTTATGTACTATTTTTATTTTATGTGTATGCATGTATTGCCTGTATATAGATAAGTGCACCCATGTCATGCAATGCCCAGAGAGGATAGAAGAGGCTGTTGGATCCCCTGGAACTGGAGTTACGGACAGTTGTTAGCTGCCATGTGGGTGCTGGGATTCGAACCTGGGTCTTCTGCAAGAACAGCCAGTGTTCTTAACCATGGAGCAATCTCTCTAGCCCCCATTGATCTCCTTTTTAAAATTTAAAATTTGCTTATTTTTTTATGTGTATGAGTGTTTTGTCTTCATGTATGTAAGTGTACCACATACAGGCAATGCCTGTGAAGGTCAGAAAAGAGTGCAGGTCCCTGGAACTGGAATTGCAGATGGTTCTTAGTTAACTACAGAACTGTGATCCTCTGTAAGAGCAGCCGGTCCCCTTAACTGCTGAGCCATCATTCCAGCTCCTCATTTTCATATTAAGAAAAATAATTTATTTTCTCCTTAGATGAGACAAGACTTTCATAACTAAGAAGTGGGTTAAAAACAGTGCTGGGATCAGGAGATGGCTTTCTGGATAAAGCACCTGCCTTGCTAGTGTTAGCACCTCACCTTGAACACGCAGAGATCACATACAGCTGGGTGTGGTAGTGCTCTATAGTTAAATGGGAAGCAGAAAAAGGCAAATTGCCCAAAGCCTGCAGGCCAGTTAGGCTTGTGTATGCTGTAAGTAACAAGAAATATACCCTATCTTAAACAAAGTGGAAGGTGAGAACTGACATCTGAGTTTGTCCTCTGACCTCCACATGTGTATTACACACATAAACTGAAGTCACACACATGAATGCGCACACACACATACATCCTCCATACACATATGTACACATCATACACACACAAAAGATAAAAGCAACTCAGTCCTTCAAGAATTCTAATGAAATAGCTAATAGATTTCACTACAGATATTGCTTTACATCTATTAAAATATGAGAGAGAAATGTAATATTTTTAAAAACCTTTAAATCTACATAATCACTGAGTGGCAGGCTGGAAGGATGTATAAATTGTTTTTTCTGCTTTTTTTGTTATAGGTGAACACACCCTTTTCTCCAGAAGCAAGGGTTTTAAAGAGTGGATTTAAATCTTCAAATATGCCGTCTCCCTGGAGGAAATGAGACAGTTGCTCATAGAACTAGAGCAGTAAGTTAGAGGAATTGAAACCTGATGCCCAACCAGCCTTAAAAACAAAAAAGCACGACACAGTACGCCAGCATTTTGGAAGGCAGCTATGCTCACCGCTATATGACCAACGCCCTTATGCCAGCATTTTGTATTAAGTTATTAAGTAAAAATAAAGAAAGCTGGAAAGAAGATTGACTTCTACAGTCTTGGGGTGGGAGTGCTGGATGAAAACACAGGCAAGATACAGACAATGCCCCTTTCCCTGGGCTGGTTTAGGGCATTGCAGTGTCAACCGTTGGTAGCTCATAGAAAAGACCAACATTGAGGGGGCAACGAACAATGATCTGAGTGCCTATTTATTTTATTTATTATTTTTACTTTTTTAATATTTATTATTTTTATTTTATGTGTATGTGTGCATTGCCTGCATGTAGGTAAGGGCCCCTGTGTTGTGCAATTCCCACGGAGGACAGAAGAGGCTGTCGGATACCCTGGAACTGGAGGTATGGACAGGTATTAGCTGCCACATGGGTGCTGGGATTCGAACCTGGGTCTTCTGCAAGAACAACCAGTGTTCTTAACTGCTGAGCCATCTCTCCAGACCCTATTTATTATTTTTATTTTATGTGTCTCACTACATTGCCTGGATGCATGTAAATGCATCCGTGTTGTTTAATGCTGGTGCGGAGTTCAGGAAAGGGTGTTAGATCCCCTGGAACTGGAGTTACAGATGGTTGTTAGCCACCATCTGGGTGCTGGAATTCAAACACAGATCCTCTGCAAGAACAGCCAGTGCTCTTAACCTCTGAGCCATCTCTCCAGCCCTGAGTGCCTATTTTTAATACTAAGAACTGAAATATTTTTTTCCAGACTGAGGGCTCAGGAACGGGGCTTGCCATCCTTCAAATCACACTGATGTCAATGCAGGGTCACAGCTCAGGTTCTTTCTCCATAGATGTTGGTGGAACAGTTAAATTCAGCCAACAAGAATTGACAAAAAAGCAGCCACTGCCAAAACACTGGGAGCTTCCCACACCACTTATGTGATTGTCCTGTGTGTGTTTGTGGCCCCTGGAATCTTGTGAATTACAGAGTAGGAGGTGCTATTTCTTCTTTTATCCATTCAGTTGTTTAAAGTTACATGCAAAGTAGGGGGTTTCGCTGTGGCACTGTCAGGCAGTCCTCGTCTTGTTGATCTCCCCCATTCCTCTTCCCCATCTCCCTACACCCCTTCCATTGGTTCCTTCCCACCCCAACATCCTCCTCCTTCTCCTTTCATGTCACAGGGATTCTATCACCCTCTTTTCCTCCCTTCCCTCCCTTAAGATCTCTTCTCCTCTCCTGATCCTCTTTCTAGTTTCATGATGCACACCGTTCCCCACATATGTAATGCACACACATACAAATTAAAATCTAGGATTCATGGATGAGAGAAATGTGATATTTGTTTTTCTGCTAGGATTTTTGCTCAACAATAAATGTCAGTTTCATCCACTTCCCTTGCAAATGCAGGATTTAATTTTCTTTATGGATGAATAAAATTTAATTGTGCATATGTATTGTATTTTCATTTCTAAAAGATTTATTTTATGTATATGAGTGTTTTGCATACATGTATGTAAATGTGATGTCCATGGAGGTCAAAATAGGATACTGGATTCCCTGTAATTGGAGTTATGGAATGGTTGTTAGCAGCCATGTGGGTGCTGGGGACTGAACCCAGATCCTCTGCAAGAGCAGCCCGTGCTCTTAAATGCTGAGCCATCTCTCCAGCCCTGTATTCTATTTTCTTGATCAATTCATCTGTTGGTGGACACTGGGGTTGGTTCCATTTCTTAGCTATTATGAATAGTGTAGCAATACACATGAATTTGCACGTGTCTCTGTGGTAGGATTTTGATACAGACCCAGAAGTTGTGTAGCAAGGCCATATGGTAGTTTTATTTTTAGTCTTTTGAGAAACTGTCATACTGATTGCCACAGTGGAGATGCCAATCTACAGTCCCACCAGCAATGAATAAGATTTTCTCTTTCCACACGTTCCCACCAGTATTTGTGTTATTGGTTTTCTTGATGCTAGCCATTCTGACTGGGGTAAGATGCCATTTCTTTAATTTGCATTTCCCTGATAAAGATGTTGAATAATTTTTAATGTAGTTATTGTCCAGGTACTTCTTAAGTCCTTGAACCTCTTAGTTCTATATGTTCCCACACAAAGATACTGCCCTCAATCAGAGAGCAGCAAATTATGGATTTAGTCTATTCACTGATGGTTATATATGAAATTTTATTGGAACACAGCCTCACCCATTGGTGATACACTGTGTAGCCTTACGCTTACAGTATAACAATAGAATTGTAGACTTGCTATCACGACCATTTAGCCTCAAAGTCTAAAATATTTTTTATGGAGCTTTTTTTTTTTTTTCAAGAAAAGTTAGTAGACCCAGACGCTAAAGTGTACATGGGTTTCTGGGTTAAGAACACTGTACAACAGCAGTAACAAA